AGGCTTTTGTCTCAGGTCAGAGGGTGAAGAAGACACCAGAGGTCACCATCTTTCTTATCTATGTGTCCCCTGCCGTCATTTGTCATCCTGTCAGGATCTATCAAGCTCCTGATTCCTCAGAATAACCATGGACCATCCACCCCCTACCTATCTTTTTCTTTCTGGGATCACAGACCTGTACCACCATAGCAGGTTTCATATCAGACCTTTAACTTAGTTTTTCTGGTTTTGAAACAGTCTCCTGAAGCCTAGGATAGCCCAACCTAGAACTTATCGTGTAGCTGAGGCTAGCCTTGAAACTCTAATTTTCTTAGAAAAATGTTTACTTTATATAGGTTAGTTTACTTTATATATACGAATGTTCTTCCTGAATGTCTGTATACATGCCACCATGTGTGTGTCTGGGGCCCTTCGAGGCCAGAAGAGGGAATGAAGTCTCACTGGAATGAGAGTAACAAGTGATCATGAACTACGTACCACATGGATGCTGGGAACTGTACCTTGGTCCTCCGCAAGAGCCAACTCTAGGTGGCTAAGCCATCTCTCCAGCACTGCTTTTTATTTGTAAATTCTTATTTATTTCAGTAGAAAGGAATCTGTGATCCCCTCTTAACACAGTGAAGTTCATGAGAAGAGACCCTTCCAAAGAAACGTGTGTCACTTGTCACCAAAGAAACGTGTGTCATGGGGCTGGTGAGATGGCTCAGTGGTTAAGAGCACTGACTGCTCCTCCATAGGTCATGAGTTCAAATCCCAGCAACCACATGGTGGCTCACAACCATCTGTAATGAGATCTGATGCCCTCTTGTGGGTGTCTGAAGACAGCTACAGAATACTTACATATAATAAATAAATAAAAATTAAAAAAAAACAAAACAAAACAAGAAACGTGTGTCACTTGTCACCCACTAGAGAAGAGCAAGCATGTGATCCCCGCTTCTGACGCATCTGTCACTGATCCTGCATGGCGAGGATTACTGTGCGTATAATCTTCATCATAGCTCTCTAACAATGCAGTAGAGTCAACTCTGGAAACTTCTTAGGAACCAAGAACCGCCTCGGACAGACTCTTGGACGAGTGGGCTGCTGACGAGGCTCAGCAGCCTGGGAGTTACAGTCTTAGCTTGTACCCATGTCGTATTAATCACCGTAGAGTTCCACGAAAACTTTCTGTTCCTGTTCCTACTTAATAAAATTAGCAAGAGAAGCATACATGGGAATAGGAGAGGAAAAAAAAATGTCCGAACTGCAAATTCCATTCCATTCACCACAACTTATGTGATAGCAATCAGGGGACGACAACTCCCAAGAACCTTTTCCTTTTGACCCTGTGTCCTTCCTGTACTTCCACAGCCCTGATGGGTGTGTGGTCTAAGCAGGACACTGTCTCCGGGAATACTGCCCACCAAGTGCCAGCACTCTGTACGGTCACTGATGACATGATTGAAGGGGGCTTGGACAGTCTTTGGAACATGTGTGGGTCAGGCAGCCACGGGAAGCAGACTGGGATTTGTAGCTCAGGTCCATCCTTCTCCAGACCAAAGCACCATCAGCCTCCTGACCCACTCTCTGCCTCCAATTCTAGGAGCAAAAGGACTTGGCTTCCAAGGGCTCACAATCTGGCTAAGGAGAAAAGATGAACTACATAGCTGTTGTTTCCTTCTTTGTGTATTAGGGACTCTAATCAGAGCATCACACCAGATTCCCTGATCTACAGAGACTTTGAAACCAGAGTGTCCTGGTTAGCATCAGAGTTTCTTTGTGCAGGGTGGCGTGCCAGTGAGAAGCTGGACCATCCAGCACTCATCTTCTTGAACATCAGCGTGAGAACCAGATTCAACCACTGCTCTCCATTTGGAGTTTATTGGTGCCTGGGTTAAAGTATTTTATAAGGTTTGATGCTGCCAATGTTCTGTATTACATCAGTAGATGTTTGTTTGTTTATTGAGACAAAGTCTTGCTCTGCAGCCCTGGATGTCCTGGAACTCACTATGTAGACCAGGCTGGCCTCGAACTCAAGAGATTCCAAGTACTGGGAATAAAGGCATGAGCCATTGTATCCAGGTTGTTTGTTTGTTTTGTTTGTTTATTCAATAATTTATTTTCATTTATGTGTGTTGCTGGAATTTCCAACCCCAATAAGCCCATATGAAAACCCCACAATCCGGTTATTATAAGCCATATATAAGCCATATGCCTAGATTGGGCAGATTTAACAGTATGCTAACTTATTCCCCAGCTATAAGACCCCTTGCTACTTGTGGTTTCTCCTAGCCAAGTTGTTCAGGTCTGTTGTGGCTTCCTCCTTGTCTTCCGTCTTCTCTCCTGCCCTCATCCTCTTCTGTCTCTTTACCTGCCCCCACTCTTTCTTTTTAATTTCTTTTTTTTTAATGATTTATTTATTTTATGTATGTGAGTACACTGTAGCTGTCTTCAGACACACCAGAAGAGGGCATCAGATCCCATTACAGATGGTTGTGAGCCGCCATGTGGTTGCTGGGATTTGAACTCAGGACCTCTGCCACTCTGAACCACTGAGCCATCTCTCCAGCACTGTCCCCACTCTTGAACCTCCAGTCCCACCTTTCCCCTCCGCTGCCCCCAAAAAAGGCTCTAGCCTTTATTGACCACTTAAAATGGGGAGAAGGTTCACATGAGATCACCTTACATGATGGACTGTTTGTCGGGGCAACCCCTCTGGAGAAAGCAGAATTAACATCAGAGTACAAACAGCATTGGAACAACCCACAACATCTGTGTTTGTGTTTGAATGTCTGTATGCATGCCTGCATGACAGTCCTAAGGAGTGGAAGTTACAGGATTTGAACTAACGGCCTTGTGGATGCTGGGAACTGAACCAGGCTCCTCTGGAGGAACAGCCAGAGCTCTTAACCACCAAGCCATCTCTCCAGCCCTGAGGGTTTAAAGCAAGGTGGAGACCAGTTCGGTGGCTCAGCAAGTAGAGGCTGATGATCTGGTTTGAGTCCTGGGACTTACGTGGTAGAAGGAGAGAACCAACTCCCAATGGTTGTTCTTTAACCTCCACACATGTGCTTTGCTCTGTGTGTGTGTGTGTGTGTGTGTGTGTGTGTGTGTGTGTGTATAAATATGTTTATTCACATATGTAAATAAATATATGTGCAAACTCAAGGTGTATTTTGGGGAGAGGGGTTGTTGTTTTTGTTTTTCAAGACAGGGTTTCTCTGTGTAGCCCTGGCTGTCCTGGAACTCTCTCTGTAAACCAGGCTGGCCTTGAACAGAGTTCTACCTGCATCTGTCTCCTGTAATGGGAATAAAGGTGTCCCCACTTCCTCCCCCACCCTCCCTACCCCCCTGAGTGTGGGATTAAAAGTGTCACGACTACATCCAGCTTCCTTCTAACTTTTTGGAGGTACGGTCTCAGGTAGCCCAGGATGACCTCACTTTATACGCAGGGTAACTTTGAACTTCTGACCTTCTTGTTTTCACCTCCAAGATGTCGGAATTTCAGGCTGTACACAGTCTTCCTTGTTACACCACAATTGTCTTATGTCTGAAGTTATGCTCCCAGGAGCTGTTCATTCCAGAAGTAATTGCTGGATCTCCAACAAACACTGGTGCTTAGCAATGAGTAACCCATCCCTGATTTTATCCTCTTAATCTGTGACTGCCTCACTGGGAGTGGTCCAGATGACCCTCTATGAGGTCAGTAGCCTCCAAGTCTTGTTCATATCCCCAGAGTTTGCCTCAATCTTTATTATCTGGTCAGACTTTATCCCCTTGGTCATTGTCTGATGAAAAGGCGTGTCTTCTGTCTATCACCCACAGCCCCAAGCCTGACAATGAGACTTATTCCCATGACCCAGTCAAACATTGATCTAGGGAGGGCTGACGATATCTTGAGCTGGGTGGGATGAGCATTCTTTGCTCTATCTCCTCCAAGGACCGTGCCCTGTTTCTTTAACATGTTTACGCATCAGGACCGCCAAGGCCTCCTGGGTGCCTCTTCTGTACGTGACTCCCGAGAACTGGGACATGCAGGAGAACCGTGGCATTGCCATTTTAGGGACTGCCAGTCAATTAAATCTAGAGACTTCCTGTGATGGTTGGGGAAACTGAGGCCTAGACTGGGATATGGCTACATCCATGAAAATTAGCAGATTCCAGGTGGAATTCCTCGAACTGTGGAAGAAAATTGCAAATTATAAATGGTGCTTGTGGTTGGTTTTTCTGAGTACGTTTTCTTTTGTTAGTGCTAACTGGCCTGGTACTTGGTAGATAAACACAGTAGCACTGAGCTTCCCATGCTGATGTCTTATGGGGGCTTCTGAGAAGCCTCGGGGGTTAAGATCAAACTGAGGGGACGGGGACTCTAAAGATCATGATTGAGCTCCTTGGAGTGTCAGCTTTGTAGCACATGCTTAAACCCCGAGTGTTGAGTGTGGCTTGGATCACAGGATGAATGAGAGAATGCAATACACAGAGGGATTAAGAATTAAATTACACTCCGGGTGGTGGTGGTGCACGCCTTTAATCCCAGCACTTGGGAGGCAGAGGCAGGCGGATTTCTGAGTTCGAGGCCAGCCTGGTCTACAGAGTGAGTTCCAGGACAGCCAGGGCTACACAGAGAAACCCTGTCTCGAAAAACCGAAAAAAAAAAAAGAATTAAATCACATCCTGCTTACGTATGGTCCCACTGCCTCTGTGATTTTATTTATTTGTAGCGCTGAGGATGAAAGCAAGTTCCTGCCTTCGGCAGGCAAGCACACCAAGCTATCCTCTCAGGCTTCCAGGACTCAAAAACAGCAAGTCTCAAAGGCAAGAAATAAACTCCGGCCCGTAAAGGAGTGGGGCCTTGGGTCTGTCATCTGACTTCCACCGCCCCCCTCCACCCTCACAGTTGGGTAGGCTTTGAGATATAAACTCTGAGACCCTCTGTTGGATCAGAGGGTCAGCTGACCGGAAGACAGTCCTATTGTATGTAAAAGACTCTTAAGCTTTCTCTAGTCCAACTGTGCCAAGTGGCAGACAACTTAAGATCCTACTAGAAGGAGAAACCCAGCAGACCCGGCTGCTCCTCAACCAGTGCAGGCCAGGAAGGTCAGAGGCTCGGAGACAGGTGAGTACCCGGAAGCATGAACTCTCCTGTCTTATTTGAAATGTAACCTAGTGATTCCCTTGGGAGATGACTTGGTTTAGGATGAAATCAGGTCAGTTTTTCTTTACAAAGAAGACATTACTAGGTGCAAGGCCTCTGCGTTTCAGATCTCAGTCAGACTGCCTTAGACACATCCATGGCGGGAAAATAATGCAGAACAGAAGACCTGTGTGGGACTGGAGGCTGCTGGGAGTTTCACTCCCGTGCATTGTTCGTTCTGTGTCCCAGGCTGCTCTCTCTCTCTCTCTCTCTCTCTCTCTCTCTCTCTCTCTCTCTCGCTCTCTCTCGCTCTCGCTCTCGCTCTCTCTCTCGCTCTCTCTCGCTCTCTCTCGCTCTCGCTCTCGCTCTCTCTCTCGCTCTCTCTCGCTCTCTCTCGCTCTCTCTCGCTCTCTCTCGATCTTGCTCTCTGTTTTTCGAGACAGGGTTTCTCAGTGTAGGCCTGACTGTCCTGGAAATCTCTCTCTAGATCGACTCAGAGAGCCACCTGTCTCTGCCTCCCAAGCAATGGGATTAAAGGTGGGAGCCATCATGCCTGGCCTAGGCTGCTTGCTTTCGCTGTTCCTTCTTTCTTCTGAAGAGACTTTGGCTATGGCTTTCATAGAGCATCTGCCTTTGGTAACAGTAGAAAGAGCCCCTCGGAGTCTGGAGGCCTGGATCAGAATCTTGGGTTGACTGCTCTCAAACGTAAAGAGCCCTGTCTTTGTAGACAGCCAGGCTCCAGCCCTGGTTCTTTCCTTACTGCATGTATGATCTGGGGCAAGATGCTCTGCTGTCAGAGCCTCCTTGGCCTCACCTCAAGAGGAGGCTGGTCCATTCTGAACTCCATCAATCTAGTCATTCCTTCTCCTAGATATTTTGTGACAAATCTGGGGAGAGCCTTGTCACTTGGTCTATTGGAGTGTCCAGTAGACTGCTGCATGGATGGCTTCAGGATTAGGCAGGTGGGCCGATTCCAGCTCCAGGCCACTCTGAGTTACGAGTAAGTTCCAGGTCAGTCTGGGTCACAGAATGAGACTCCATGCCAAACAAAACAAAAGGCAAAATGTGGTGGTATAAGGCCTGGAACCCAGCACTTGGGATGCAGAGAAGCAGAAAGATCAGGAGTTCAAGGCCAACCCCAGCTGCATGTTGAATTTGAGACCAGCCTCGGTTATGTGAGACTCCATCTCAAGAAATAAAAGGCACAGTTGGTCTTTATAGTTGGTTTTGGATTGAGCCAAACATTGGTTGTCAAACAGCTGACAATGAATTTATTCATCAGTAAAAGGTAGAGGTACTCACCATGGATGAGAGAGAGAGAGAGAGAGAGAGAGAGAGAGAGAGAGAGAGAGAGACACAACTT